TTCTGTTCTAGTTGTGTTGGATTATGAACTTAAAGTTTGCCCTAATTTTGACCTTTAGCCTTTGAGATTCTAGTCATATAATTTTGATTCTTGATAAGCCATATTTTCAATTTATGTGGAATTTCAGGGAAATGATCCTTCATGCTTGCGTGAATTTCTCCTGCAAATCATGAATAAGAATTCTCCATCAGGAAATCTAGGATTCCAAGTAAGTTCTTGGTCTGCTACTTAAATGTCACACAGTGCTTCTTTACTGTCTGTATGGATCTTTTAATCTCATTTTTATTGTAGATACTTGATAGAAATTGGGGAGCAGGTTGGAACCTTCTATCCTTGTTGCTTGCGACCAGACCTTCTAAAAGAATAAGGTATGATATTGGATTTTATGTGAGGCAAATGTTCTCCATTTGAATGGCATAAGTGTTGTTTGAAAGTTATCTAATTTGTTGATACAAATTGAGAGACAAGCTAATTGAAATCACCTTCAGAATGCTGCATAGTGGATTTGGGACTCCTATGAGCAGCTACAATTTTTGCCTAGTTGGTTGGTTGGTTGGTTGGTTGGTCATTCTATTGATAACATAGATTTTGCAATAATCCTACAATTATTGATATTTTCTTGTGCCTTATTTATCAACTCCAGTTCTATGTTAGTATTTGTTGCTTCATAATGCATATTGGGTAAATTATTGCATTCCTGGTAATCTTTCTGTTTTCCTTTTTTGTTTTTACAGTTGTTTAGATGCCCTCAGGCACCCTTTTTTATGTGGACCAAGGTGGCGGGTGGTCCCTTCCATGGACATAATTAGATGGGGTCTTGGGTCAACTGCAGTGCGAATTACGGAGGAGTATATATACCGCCAGCCTCAGGTATCTAGTTTCTTCTGTTTTCTAAAATCTAAAGCTTTACCACTGTTATTTCTTTTAAAGGTCAGGTATATTTGATGGAACAACTAACGTGTCATGTTTCAATCTGCAGTCCCTACTTCCATTTAAAAAAATAAAATAAATCTGCATCTTGTACTCAATATCACAACTTCAATTTGGGGTCCTAACTCATTCTTTTTCCATTTTAGCGTGATAGGCTTTCTCACTTTATTGAATTAATGGAGATGCTGAATCCTCATTCCAGGCCCAAGGTAATTTACTCCTCTTTCCAGTTTCACTCCCTATGATATAGTCTAGAATTAGTTTTTATTGTAATTCATATTTCTTTGGAAAATACAGAATTGGCTGGAGTTGCTTCCGGGAAACTGGCGTCTATTGTACTCTACTGGGAGGCACATAGGATTGACCCTTCGCCAGCCTCCAGTCCGTGTCCTCATTGGCAATGCACACCTAACCATCACAAAAGCATCAAATGTGGACACCAGCATGTCATTCACATCTGAAATTGGCTTCACAGTTGTTACAGGAAAGGAGTGGCCCCATAACAAGATTGGTATAAATGGTAAACTGCAAGCAAACTCTTTATTTAAATTAAAAGCCGGAAGGAGACTGTATCTCAAGGAAGAAAGGACTACTGGAAGGTTCTCTTTGAATCAATCAAATTCTGAGGATTCTGTACTCGAGAAACTATCTAGTAGAAAATGGAGGAGAACAGTCCCCTTCAAGGAGTTTCCTTCAAGTCTGCCTGTGGCTAAGCTTATTGCAGGTGACAATGACTTGGCAATGAGCCTGGATGACCCATTAGCTCAAAATGTTGATGCTGCAAGTCAAGTAATTAAAGAAATTCGTACCCAAGTGCCACCTGAAATGTTTGATTTGTCAAAGCTTGTTTGTGGAACATACATCGACTCAAGGATGCTTGTCCTTCGAGGCGTAAACGGATCAGCACTCTTATTTACGCGTTATTGCGCTAGTGAAAGTTGTAGATAACAACTGTGTAGTTAGTTGTAAGTGCCAATTGCAATAAGAAATGCACAAAAATGTACTGATTGTAGTGTTTACCATTTGATTGTATAATCCTATTAATTTTCCCAGTGCATATATTTTTCTCTTCATCAGTGTGCCCTTTGAACTAAGAGAACAGGCTCCTCGTAATTAAGGACATGTATGGCTTGGCTGGAGTTTTAGCAAATGAAAAAGTGTTTTTTAAGCTCATTTAACTTATGAATCTACAAAATTACCTTTAATGAATATCTTCCTTATGTTATTTCATTAATAATGTTTTAATAATTTCAGTACTCGGATTGTACTCACCATCTAACTTGAAAAAGATGAATCTGTTCTTATAGAGTTGAGTCTAATAAAAATGCCAAACTGAAGGTCTTAGCCTCCAGCTTCCAACGAACTGTTTTTAACCTGGAAATCTTGAATCCAAACACACACCTGTTCCTATTGGGCAAACTGTGAGGGAGTCAAGCCCATGTCTGTTTTGCACAGAAAAAGAAGGCCTAAAACAAAATGAGTCCTCTATGAGCTGAAAAAGAGCTTGATATATCTACTTGTTTTGGTTGTTGAGCAGACATGGAAAAGAGAAGACAACCTTTTTCTCCTCCAATGGGAAAAAACCAAAATAATTATGTCCTTTTGATGATGATATCAACCCTTCACCTTTGAAAAGCAGGTTATAGCCCTTCAGCTACCTTAACAAGGCTTATAGCTAACCACTTAACAAAAGTTTGCCTTAGCTACCAAACACTTATTTTTCCAAGTCCTTGTCTTTCTTCCTCGTAAAGGATGGACCATTGCTATCTACCATTATTCATACAATGCCCTACATAAAAAAAAGTATACATAAAAGGTATACATGCTCTAATAGCATCTTGTGCTGTCTCTTTTTATTATGAAGAATTTTGACAGCAATTTTGATTGTGATTTGTTCAATAAACGGCCATTTAAGTGATTAGTTTGTCAAGAACTGTTCAATCTTTATAAAATTCTCATCTTGGTGCAGTATAGGGAATCACTCAACTCCAAAAGTAGATTTTTCTTCTTTTTTTTTGGCCATCCCATAAGTAGAAGTTTAATGCATCTTCTTCTTCTTTTCTTTTCTTTTCTTTTTTTTTTTTAACTTTAAAATTGATGAAAAGCAGTGTTAGGAATCAAAACAAACTATAGTGCTCTGAAAATCTGAGTTCATGATCTTAGACAAATATTCTACCATTTCATGATTTCTTTAAGTGCAAGGAAGTTGGTTTGATTAAAAAAATCTAGATTTGACTAAACAAAAGCTTAAAGGAAATGATTTTTTGGCCTCGTGAGGCAAGAATTTCTTGTCAATTATAAATGGCTACAAGCCTACAAGGACAATTGGGTTGGTGGAAATTAGTAATTCATCTCATTATCATGATCAATAATTTCTTTTCTTTTTAATGTTAGTTTACCATTTTTTTTTTAAATCAAAAGAAAGTTTAAAGACACAAAGCTTAGCTTTCAAATTGTTCAGTATCGGTCCCCTTCAATAATTTCAGCTACCCACCAACTTTTATACTAAACCTACCACCAATCTACCATCATTCTACCAACAAACAAAGCCACATCCCATATGTCAACTTAATAGTTATATCTTCAGGAATATGTTTATTTTTTATTTTTTTAACACCTTCTCTCTTGTATGTTTGATGTTAGATTATAAAATAAAAAATAATTATATTTTAAAAAAATTCTTATTCAAGATTTGAAGTAATACTTTTAATTTCAAATCTTAATTGAGACACCTTTAAATGGCATCACATGGAAACTTTTTTTCTTTTTCACTTTCACATAATTAAAGAGGAGAACAAAAAAGGGAATGTTATTTTGTGCTAGGAATAATTGTCTCTCATTCTGATTCTCTCAAAGGTGGGATGAAAACATGAAAAGAAAACATGTACCGACATTTCTCATGGCAACTTTATTCATCTTTCCTTTCAAAATGGAATAATTCTCTCTCTTTTTTCACCTTTTCATAAAATTATTGAGCATCATACCATAAGCATAGTAAACGATGAGAAAAACGTGTTATTAAGTTTTAACTTTGGTCTTCGGATCAAAAGTCTAGCTTGGATGTACATGAACTAATTGTGGTGTTTTCGATATTTTTTGGTTGGATTATATTAATTTATTAATCTTTTTTTTTTTGGTAGAAATTAATTTATTAATCTTAGTTTACTGTGGTTAGGTTTCATCTCTGACTTTTCTCAACCCTGAAACTTCCTTCATATTTCTTGCTTGTGATATTTACTACTTTAAATGACAAAAATCTTTCTTGGGGACCATCACTATTTGACCAAACATTAAAGTTTGTTTGGTTTAACTTGAAACTCTTTTAAAAGAGAAGAAAAAGTGAGAAAATGTATTTATAAATTGTATATAAATGTGTGGATCATCATGTTAGTAATTTAAATTTGAGTTTTTAAGAATCATATTGACTTGATTTAAAAGTTGTTAGAGTTACTAATACCATTTAATGGGATTCAAATTATATCTACGATTTAAATTATGTTTACCATTTAAGCACCGTATAACTTTTTCTTATATTTTTTAACAAAAACACCACTTATCTAAATGCTTCTTTCATTTTTTTATATCATGATTTTGGCTTGTTGCTCTCAAATTCTACATTGGAAAGAAAATGTGTTAGTAAATAATTAAATTTGAACTTTAATTTTAAAAAACTATGTGAGTTTCAACTTAAAGAGATAATAGAAAATAGAATAAACCATTTTAATAGGATTCTCCCTCAATCCCCATCAAACTTACTTTAGTGAGTAGTCATTGGCATGCAAAAAAAAAAAAAAGTAGAGATTGCAACTAATGAAAGAAGCGCCTGAGACCCAATAATTAATACTTGACTCTTGGAAACTTTGAAGGATCATAGACGTCGACTCCTCAATGAATGAAACAACCAACTTTACATTTTATGAGATTCATATCTCTAAAATCTAATTAACTATACATACATACTTTAATACCAAGATTGAAACTAAATCTATTGACGATGCACCATCTAAGATCAGAGCCTTGTGCTATGCCGACGATGATCGTGTCGTGCGGCATGCGCCGCAAAATCGCAGGATCTTAGCTCAAAATATTGCTACATTAATAATATCCAACAACTCCTTTTGCCTGATCTTTTAAATTATGCAATTTTGGTACTAAAAATCTGCTGCAAGAAGCCGCAATTCAATATGTTTTATTGATCTTGAATTGACAATTGCCAAAAACAATGGTGCCCCCTTTTGATTGTGAGTGAATCAAACATTACGAATCATGATGCAGACAAGGAAGATCTAATATCGAATGATAATCAAGAGTAATTGTAATTTATAAGTAAAGATCAGTTCTTGAAAAAATTTTATAATGTGTTTGGTTCAAGAAAAAGAAAAAAAGTGGGAGTTAAAAAATTATTATAATCAATTAGGTTATTATGTTAGTTCAAAAACTTAATTTAATTGATTGAAATAAATCGACATCTCTTCTCCTCCCCTCATCTCCCTTCAAACTAAATAAACTATTGAAAAACAAAATTGTGAGATTTATGAGTATTTCAACAACATAATCTCTTAAATAGCAACTAACCATGCCAAAACACCAAAGCCTTTTGAATGAACCACCATGTAGATTTTGTATGGACTTTCAAATTTTTTTTTTTTTCCAAATTTTGTCCATTTGGGATAATTAAGTATGGGAAGATTCAGACAAAAATAATTAAAGGGACCACCAACAATACTTGTGGAAAGTGAAGTGGATTTCCCTACGTGAAACTCGCATTGTGCAAGTGGGGTTTGGCATGGTTAAAGATACTCTTCATCAGGCAGACAATATTATTATTACCTCTTGATTACTTATCATGACATGTCCAATATCCATGGAGGTTGATCAAGCCTTGAGATTCTCCACTTGTATTTCTAAAGCAAACCAGAAAGAGAGGACGAGAACAAAAGATTCACTAAGATGGCGGTGAAGTGTCCGTGAATACGAATTAAGGTCAATTCAGCTCAGGTCTCTTTACTTCTCCTCAAGGTCATATCTGTCTCATTCCTTGTCCAATTTGAATCATTTGTGTCTGAATTGAAATTGGGTTTCGTTTGGTTTCGTTTTGTCAAAGAGAAATCTGTTTTTCACTACGCAATTGCACTTTTAAAAAAAATTTAAGTACTAAAATTATCAAAATATCATTAACAAATAAATATAAATGATAATTTTATTAAAAATATTTTGATAATTTTAATATTTAAATTGTAAAAAAAAAATACAATCCATACTCAAAAAACACTTTTTATTTGTCGGTAACTGATTTCCTACCAAAAAAAAACTCTTTATGATGAAATTATACTTTGTTTAGTGAAAAACATTATACATCAAGAATCTAACAAAAAAAAATATAAATTTAATATAAAAAAGGGCTATGTTACTTATTTTGAATTGTTTTTAATTTAAATATAAATTCTATATTAAAATTTACCTACTCGCTTAAACTCTTCATTTTTTAGAGTTTACCTAACAAGACTCAAGTTTGATTGGTTTTAAATTAAATATAAAATTTATATTAAAATTGATCTACCTAATTTTTATATAATTTTTAAGTAATAAAAATATTTTATCTAACTTAATCTATATTTATTATTCTGGATACAATTATCAAATGGGAACAGGCCCTACATATAGCGGGTCCTCTTATTTTATGGTTCCGGTTTAAGTAGTCTTAACTTCAACTTGCATTCGTCATACACCAACACAATTACATCGACTGACCACGGAAGTGCCACAACAAGTATATATATCAGTGGTATACATTTCCTCGAGTTTCGTGATGCAATTAGTGGAGGAGATGGCACATGCATTAAACTACTACTAAGTACAGAGCCGGGGTCAAATATTTGCATTGTTTAATGGATGAACGCCAGTTTCCAGCTTTATTTCTTGTACTCATTGCTCCTCGAACACGATGAGTGACAAATTAAAATCACATTAAGTTGCGGAAATTACAAAATATGCTTTGTTGTTCTGAGATCTCTGAGGGAAAAAAACTTTGTTTAATTTCTCCCAACGTTTTTCTGTTACCACTAATTTATTCCGGGGCGGAGGCAGAAATTTTGTTCGGGGGTAAAATATTAAAATTTTCAAAGTTTAAAAGAGGTTAAATAATTTTTTATAGACTAATTTACAAAA